ACCCAAAAAAAGTTTGCACTTGTGTTTGGGTTTGTACAAAATGAAAACTAATAGTACAGTCAGTGTATGAAAAAAAAACGCGTTAATACTGTATAATTTGGTGAATTATTATGGTAATGTCAGGAAAAATATCCAGACAATTAGAACTAAAGTAAAAGCATGGATGTTAGTGTAAGTAAAATATTATTGGTTTTGATAATGATTTTTCAGATCTACAATTTCGTGGATGGAGTATGTACCTTGGTTGTGGTAAAATCCATTTTTTTAGTTCTTTTTTAAATGATTTAATTACTTTTAATGACTCTGGTATGAAGTTATAGAATTTTGGTCCCAAGGAAAAAAGAGATCGTTGTGTAATGGTTTTTGATGTTTGTGGAATACACATTGAATTTTGATTGAATCTTGTTGGGTAGTTATGAATGGTACGATTAAAATATTTTGAATATTTGAAATAATGTATTAGACCACAATAAAAATAAATTTGCCTGCAATCTAATAGCTGAGCCTCCACATATAGAAAATCACTTGAATAAGTAATCTCCCTATGGAGGATCAATTTTAGAATTAATTTTTGGATTACATCAACCTTTTTGTAATTATTATTCATAACTCCCCCCAAGCCAAAATTCCGTAAAGTAATAGAGGATAAACAAGAGCATAATATAGATTATATAGAATATTTCTTATCTAGAATATCTCTTAAGTACCTGAATTTTGGAATAATATATCTCAGTCTCTTCACAAGGTACTCTGTATGGGTATCCCATTTTAAGTGTTTGTCCAAAATCACGCCTAAGTATTTTATTTTATCGGCTGACTGAATCTCTTTGAGACCACTGCTTGTATGAACTTCAAGTTTTTCAAATTGTGGTGATATCCTGTGGTTACGAGAAAATGCTATATAGTGTGTTTTGTTGTAATTAATTGTCAAAGTTCTTTCCGAAAAGAAATTTATAAGTGTTTTGAAATCATGTTCGATTGTGGTTTTTAGTGTATCCCACTGGTTGCTTTCATAGAGAATAGCTGTATCATCCGCAAAACCGATAACTTTACCTGTACTACTTATTTTGAACAAATCGTTGATAAATAGATTAAATAAAATGGGTCCTAATACTGAGCCTTGAGGTACACCGTATGATATAATATGGGGTTCACTGAATGTGTTATTAATTTTGACGCACTGTGTTCGATTTGACAAATAATTTTCTATAAGTTTGTATGTTATTCCCCGGAAACCTAAGTTTTCTAAAGTTGTTAAAAGCGATTCATGAGTAATAGAGTCGAATGCCTTTTCCAAGTCAACAAAAACACATGCAGTTGGTTTGCCAGTATCGAGATTCGTGTATATTTTTCTTGTTAATTTTACAATAGCATCTTGATCAGATTTGCCTTCTTGAAAACCATATTGCTGTTCCGCTATTAAGCTATATTTTTGCAAATTCGGTGAATCGTTTTTTAACACTTTTTCAAATATTTTAGAAAAATTTGTTAAGATGGACATTGGTCGATAGTTGATGGGTTTTTCTCTTTCTCCAGATTTAAATAATGGTTTTACCATAGTGTGTTTTAAGCATGAAGGGAATATTCCTTTATTCATACAAGAATTTATCAAATATGACAGTATGCCGCAGATGTCGGAATTTATTCTCTTGAGAGCATATGCTGTTATATTATCTAGACCTGGAGATTTTCTTAATTTCAATTCATTGATTATTGTCTTTATTTCATGCGTATCGGTCGGTTCCAGATATAATGAGTTATATAATCTGGTCTTACTATAATTTAATTTATCCGCGTTTTTTATGTTTTCTGACAATCTTTTCCCGATTTTTGAAAAATATTCACAAAATTCATTTGCTATATCTACATCATTACTCACTAGTTCACCATTTCCTTTTTTAATTGTACTAATTTTGTTGTTTTTTTTTGCCTTGTATTTTATTGATAAATTGCCACATTTTGGACGAACAATTTTGTAGATTATCAAACTCTTCTTGGAGATATTTAATTTTAGCCTCTTCAATTATTTTTGTCAGTCTGTTTCGATATGGTTTAAATTCATTCAAAAGTTTAACATCATAAGGATATTTTTTGGTTTCCTTATATAATTCTATTTTTTTGTTGATGGAGGTAATAATTTAGGTTAGTCCAAGATGTGAATCTGTGATGTTTTTAAGGAATTTTATTCAATCAACAATGTTTCTCCCAATTCATACATATTTTATCATTAAAACATAATTATGTTCTCCACGGTTTTTGAGTAAGGATCCGCGTAAATCCAGTTTTTCATCACTTAGACTTGTGTTCCCAAATACAATTTAATACATCAAACACTAGCACCAATCTCATTGACGAACTGCTGAAGATGACAGCATAGCCTGTCGAAAGCTTGAGTATTTGTAAGTCAGAAGGGCACACATTGCTTAATTTGTCGATATCCCCAAAGACAAGTCTTTCATTTAACTAGCTATTATCGACAATAACTATGAATCGTATATATATAGGTGAAAAATTAAAGCTTCCGCCTTTTGTTGGGTACTTCGACAAAATTTAAGCAAGGAGGACTCTTTATACTTTTAATCTCTCTAGCTTTCAATGGTCTTTGCCATCATCATCAGGAGCGTAGTATGTGAGGATGTTGCTAAATGTTATTTACGTTAAGGATGAGGGAAGCACCCAGTAAGCTGGTGAAAGCTGGATACATTGTACAATAGTCAAAATTATACAAACTATACACAGTTGTATGACAAGAACAAATTAAAAACATTAAAAATATTTAAAACGAAAGTTATACATTTTATCGTGGACCACTCAAGTTATATATATGAGCAGTAGTTATTTCCAACGACTAGTTGGGCAAAAATACAATTAATTGTTAATTGGGAAATTGGCAAACTTTTTAGGCTTTAGTTGACTCTTTTGACGGTAATCTCTAGCTTTCGGCAATTCTCTATGGAGCCTTCATCAGGAGCTGGAAACACAATTATAATGCTAGCAACCAATACGGGAAAGATTTAAATTGTCAAACAACTTACTCGTCGTTGGGGTTGCAGCCAAATGGTGTTTCAAAACGGACGCGGGGATGAGAGCACTTGTTACATTTATAAAACCAATAGGATGGACACATTGGGCTTATCGATAACGACGGGTACCATCGTTAGGTGTTAACACTCCAAATCAATACACCCGAAACATATTAAAAATGTTTTTATTTTATTTTAACGAGGAGCAATTTTGTGGACAAAACCGGAACGTCGTTTCTAACCTTCTACATTCGCTTCACGTGGAAAACCCTACAGATGTTAACTTGGCACAAAAAACTAATATAACGTAAAAAACAGATATAATATCTCTTTCTAAGATAGTGCCGAAGTCACTTTGATTATTTTTGGTACCGCTTATTATTCATATACTATCACGTGAATAACTGCAAAGCTATGGAATTTTACCTCACTATAAGACTGGATGATTTTACTCCACAATTGCGTGACGTAAGCCTCGAAGTCCCCTGAGGATTGCAGGTGCCGGAAACCATACTGCATGTTGCTAATCAAGCCGTGTCGTTCGGGATAGTCCAGAAGGTCGCAATTTATGCTCCTCTCCAACACCTTACTTATAACATAATGCAGCGCTATACAGAGTGTCCAATAAGCACCACGACAACCTTAAGGCGAAGGTAGGCTTTGGACGGACCTCCCAAGTAACAAAAACTTACCTATATAAAAGTGTCACCGAGATATTGAATTTTTACTTAAATTTAAAAAAAAACGAACTTTTTCATCTGTGGTCTTTAGCTGCATATACAAATAAGGTTATACCTTGTTCATTTTTTCTATGAAATACTTCTAGGTAGTTGTTTTATCATATACAAATGCAATGCACGAGTAGTTAAAAGATATTAAGGAACCATGATCAAATAAGGACTATTTTGGGAGTTATAACCTTCGGATATTTTTCCCTCAACTTTGACCATCTGTGGTGAAACAAAAATGTACTGGGCTATAACTGCATTATATTGGATACAAAGATTATTTAGCATGGCATTGGTCGGTAACTTGAATTTAAATCCAATAATTACATTGTAGTGTGTGTCAGACACTTACAAATATCACTTCGATCGATCTGCAAGACTGTTTAGTCTACTGTTGTATGCAAACTTATGCAGATGATACTCAATTAGTGTTTGGTTTCGATCCATCAAAGGTTGACGAAGTTTTTTTCAAAGTTAATTTAGATTTGGCTAACATCAGTGATTATTGTAACAAACACTGCTTGAAGATCAATCCTAATAAAACTATTGCAATCTTGTACTGTTCGAAGGACTCCTACCGTGAAATGAAGCAGAGGATTTGTGTTGTTTTGGATAAGACACTCATCCCTTTGGTGGATTACGCCAAGAATCTCGGTGTTACCCTTGACTTAAATAGGAGATTCGATCGGCATGTCTCTTTCTTATCTATAGTAACGTATATGCGTTTGAAACTCCTCTATTCTAATCGATTCATCCTGAATTTTAAAACCCGAAAAAAGCTCGCCGAAAGTCTTGTGTTGTCTGTCATTTCTTACTCTCTTGTTCTTTATTACCCATGTTTAGACTACGTCCACAAAAGGAAACTCCTGAAAATTCAGAACACCTGTTGTAGGTTTATTTTTGGATTGCGCAAGTTTAGTCGCGTATCAGATAAAATCAAAGAACCCAACTGGTTGCGAATTGATAAGTAATTTTTATATCTTTTGACCGTCTTCACACATAAAGTTCTATTATCTAACAGACCAGCTTAGCTTGCTAGCAAATTAGTTCCCCGTGGTAGTTTTGTTACCAGAGCTCTTAGATTTAATGCTAATTCTAACATGCCTCCTCACAATACCTCGGTCTTTGAAAGAGGTTACACCTATAATGCTGTCAAGCACTACAATGCAGTCAACAGTGGCTATCGATCCAAACAGGTTGCTTCTTTTGAGAAATTAATGAAAAGTCAGCTGCTTGAGTCCATTTAGTTCAGTTTTTCTTGTGTTCATGTGCTTTATTTTGACTATTTTCTAATATTTTTGTTTCAAATTTAAAACTCTCACAATACTATCTGCATTTGTCTCGTGCAGTCAATGTTGTCATGCTTATGAACTGTATTTTTTTGTATGTTATTATTTTGTTGATGTGTTTAAGTATTCCTTTTTTTCTGTTGTGTTGTGTAAGAGTAGCCGTCTGGCTAAACTTCGCATCACTGCAGCTAAAAGACATTATTATTAGTATTATTATTATTATTACTTTTTTTCTATTCCAAATAGTACGTGTGGCGCAATTCTGAAATCTGTATTCAGTGAGCAATCTGAAAATCATTCCAGTTTTGTGCGTATCAACAAATACAAAGTAAAATCATCAACATCTCACCTTTTCCTGATCCACAATGCCAAGAGGACTGTGCTATTTCCTATAACCATAACTATGAATATTAACGCCAGCACGGCAATTTCTATTTTGGCTAAGCTTTCATCCCTATCCGTCACTTGATTTCCGGCGTCTATTTCGATGTTCATGCTCCTAGACAGGTTCTTGATGGAGAAATTCATACCGACAGCTTGCTCTGTGCGGTACATGGACGCTGATTTCTACCTGAAACAAGTAGAACACCGTTTATCAACAGGTTTATTTCCGCAAACTGGAAGCTGGGTAAGCATCAATCCTGAAAAAATGGCGTTAAGTTAGATACGCGCATGTAGAACAAAAAATGGATTAACTCAGTCAAACAGGCCCATACAACTGACGAATAGTCCCCATCTGTTTCACAACGTTGCGATCTAGCAATTTCTTCACTACTCTACCCGCAGTATCAACCATCCTGCAACGCTGCTATGACTAAGCTCGGCAATCGCCAACCACCTATCGATCAGACTCCATCGGCGACGCAGGAATATTCGTGGATGCGCGTGGCTCAAAAATCTCTCATCATTCATCAAGTTGGGCAAATCTATGGGGAAATTTATGTTGTGTGCAATATGTCTAATATTTGCGTAAATTGAGATATATCAACCCCCACCACCTACAGCCCCAACTTTATAATTCACTAGGTTTTTTTCTGAAAATGATCAAGAGCCTTTAAAGCATCAATAAATGATCTGGTATCTGCCTCTTCTTTAAACTGAAACTGCACACACAAGAGCAAACATTACAACCAGGATGCTTTGCTTTCTCTTGCACTAATCGTGAAGTTTCGGAGAAAAAATGCATCAATGTCCGTTGAAAAAGCCATTGGGGTGAAAATACCACTCTTCGCTCAAAGCGATTCTGTCGACATTTATTCCTTCTTGCTCAAAGTACTAATTCATGAAAGCTTCTATCCTATAGTAGCACTTAAACCAAATGTTCTATATTGATATACTCCTTATGCAAAAATCCCAGATCGACAAAGTATTTGAGAACATGTAACGCTATGGTAAAAGTATATTTAGTAATGACCTTGAATTTGACCTTGACAATGACCCTGAAGGTCAAATCAAGATCAAGTCGATGTTTTTAAGAGACTAATCGTAAAAACCGTTTGACGAGATTTCATGAATGTTTCTGTAGGTGAATCATGGATAAGAACCTTTAACCGCAGAAATAGAGCGGACAATTTTTGATCCATGGTCAATGTCAGTTCAAGTCACCAGTAAATAGCCAGGAAAGAAACAAAGCCCCTGTTGCAGTTCTTGTGCCTTTATCTTTAGGAAAATTCTTGAAATCTTTTCATTTGAAGGTAAAATGTAGGCTTTTCACTATAACCTTGACCAGGACGTTCAGGGCCAAGCTATTTTTCTCTGAAGTTCATGCCCAACCTCAAAATTTTACCTTTTCGAGATATAATCCCTTATAAAAAATCATCTTGACCTTGATTTTACCTCCAAGGTCACGGTCAAGGTCAAATTGAACGTCGTGGTCATCTCAAATTCAAGGTTACCTTTGGATAGCCAGGAAAAGTCCTAAGTCGATTCTATTTTATTTTTACCATAACCCAGCTATCTTGCCGTTGCGGCACTTTTATATCACCTTGTATGAATGAGCCTGGTAGCTTGGCACTAACTCTCTCTTCCCACTAGATTTTGACGTAAGATCTTCCAAGTGTCGAGGATATTTGCACTGCCACAATAATGTTACCATCGAAAACAGGCATAAGGGAGTCATTTAGATAAATTCAAGTTCTACGAAATGGTCTGCACCAAGAAGCTGTTGCCAAAAGGCATCCAAATTCACCCATTAGGGTTACTCTTGATCGCTTTGGGATGCTCTATAACTGTAAGTAGAAACACTTGTATTGCTGGTTTGCCTTGCATTGATTTTATGCTACGTAACCATTAGCTCAAATGATCGTCAATTAGTTTTGTGCTAAAGTCTACAAGAAATCAGTGAAGATTTGGTGTATTCATAATTAAGAAATGCATACTCGTGTATGCAAAAATGAAACAGCTACTGACTCTTGTAATGGCATTTAGTCGCTTCTGGATTTTGCTTCATTTAACCATTCTGCTAAGGCATAAAAAATCATATTTCTGTCAACGTCTTCAAGAAATGAATGAGTTTGTGAACCAGACAGATCTCTAGCTGACAAAACCTTTATAATACTGGAGCCGACCAAGAAACAAACTCGACGGGTTCGCCTCGCCAGTGGCGTAGATAGTAATAATGGCGTCAAGTGAGTAGACTTTTGCACTTCCTCGCATCGCCATTATCTGATCATAAAGCATTATTTTCAGCACAAACTAAAGCTTCTGTTAGTATACAATTAGCCCCAGATCTTAATCCATGAACACTTACCAAGACCAGCACGCTGCCGGCGCCGGGTTGAGAAGCAGACGTGTATCGAAAATATTTATCTGTCATTGCTTTAAGGGTAAATTTATGAGCAAATCTCTGATGCATGAAATATTTCTAGTACGTGTACAAGCTTACCGACGCATGTAAATATACTAACATCAAAAATATTTTTAACACTAATTTTTTTTCAAAACGGTCAGAATCCTCTGAAACCTCAAAAACAAAGTTTTTCCTCCGCCACCAGACCCTCTTACAAAATACCTTTTCGTCCTTTGCATAGTAGCAAACCTGGTGTAAAGATTTCATCCGAATCCGAGCTTTACAGTCCAAGTTATAGGCGAGCCAAGGATTAGAGGACAGTGAGGCAGATCGTCGGAAATGAGTGATATGATTATTCGTAATGAACATCATCATTCAAAAACATAATATCGCAGTTTAAAATTTTTTGTAGAGGTTGAAATTTGGAGGTTGAGGTTATAGTGGTGGGGCGGGGTATATATGAATTTTTTTTGATCTTCGTAAATTTATACGCTCTTAACCCCGTAATTCTATAAACCTATTAGCCACATTTCACACGTTATGGATTTATCGTATAAAATAAATTTGGGCGTTTTGGGTTGTAAGGGTGGGAGAGGGTGTATTTTTGTATTTTGTTTGATCTTACATTTATATGCTCTCAATCCTGGTAATTCTATGCACCTATTAGCCATATTTCACACATCATAGATTCACCCGTGCATTTACATTTAAAACATAGAATGATAGAGAAAATTTTTCGATCCGCGTACTCGTGCCTATCAGAGCGTACTAAAGCCCAAGAAACATAGCACGAACCGAAAGATAACTTGCAGTAGAGATACCGCGGAGATGTGGAGAGAGACAACGTTACCACATAGTCTGCAACTACCAGTAGGGCAGGGAAAGAATGTTTATGGACTAATTGTATGGGCTGTAACTAAATATTTTCTCGGAGGAATTAATTGCGCTGAACTTAATCCTTTATGAACTGATGACGGCGTTACGTAGGAAATGCAGTGTCAACCCACTTGATGCAATTTTTCATGTCTTTACAGTGGTATTGCCCCTTAAGCCTAAATAGGAAGCTAACTTTGATGATTCCTCTAGATTATGCTCCACAACTTGGCGCTGATGAAATCAGAACATGAAGAAGATGAAAAAGGAGAAGGACAAGGAGAAGAGAAGGGAGGACCAGAATCAGGAGTAGGAGAGGAGGATGGTGAAGAGGGAGATAAAGCTGGTAGAGAGGGAGGTGAAGCTGCTGGAGAGAGAGATGAAGCTGGAGGGGAAGAGGAACAAGGAGATGCGGGTGAATGAATGGTGACGGTGTGAAGATGTTGGAAAATTATTGAAATTTGAAGTGACCTTTTATGTATTGTCTATAATAAATATTCTCAAAATCAAGTTACCCCAACCTTCACTTCACCCTGCATGATAGTCTTAGTAACAGAGATAACAGCGCTGCCTAGTGACCATAATTTTTCGGGACTCGGGACCTGTCAATTGTTGGCAACTTAATGTTTTCATATAGTTTTTGACCTACTATTGATTGAAATTAGATACAATCATGTGAAGGTACTTAAAAAAGCTGTGGTGCATATTAAACTAAACGATTTGCGTGATCGACCAACAAATGAATGTGATAATGAGTACGGGACATTAATCCATGAAACATTATTTAAACTTCCAACCTCACAGAATGAAAAAAGAATTAAATTCGTAACTAAGAATACTGCTTTCGTATCTCCGTCCACAGGCTGCCAATCATGGACAACTGCTTCGTGCTTTTTAGCAACTCGTTATACGGTCTAGGCTTTGTCTCAAATGGGATAACGAACAAAAGTATAGCATAAGTTGTTTTAACGCGTTCATGGAAAAAAAAACGTATTTCTAATCTTGCCTGTGCTTATGGTATTGAGTAATTCGTGGAATTGTAGCAATTTGGCATATGTCAATCTTGTTATTTGAAATCTCTGCCATATCGCGAGCTGCGATTGATTTGACGGTTCCCATCATCGACTGCCCACATTGCGAATACGGTACATGAATCGAGAGCTTCTGGGATATCTTGGTAGTTACGGCTTGAATAACGGCAAGCAGTGATTTACGGGGAACCTCTAAGCTTACGTCACACAGCTCAGAGTCGTACGATAAGGCTCATGTCGTTGCTCTTTGTAACGCTTCCTTTCCGCAAAAAGTCCAGAAAAGATGGAATGCAATAAAGATTCCAACTTTTCTGTACAATCACAGAAAGGGGGTTAGCATTAGCTTCCGGTAGCTCAGTCGGTGGCATGAAGACATCTACAGGCGTGTAGCTGTGTGTCGACCATGGCATGGCTAGAGGATAGAAGAACAAACAGAACACAAAAATTTAACAGATTTTATTTAATAAAAAAAAGCATTTTCATTACATTACAATTTTACAGTTTTAAACAACAAAATAAGTTTTACATCTTTGGCGCTGCTATAAAACTATCAACTTATCTTTCGCTGGTCCATTTTGACTCGACTGAAGCGAGGATGGCCAGGTGCTTGAAGTGGAGGTCCCAGTTATGAGGGGTGACCTCACATATAGTGGCTTCATAACCAGTTGTAGGCGAAGTTGAACTTAAAGGCGATGGCGCTGCCAAGGCACATGCATGGGTGAAGTGATAGGCCAAGCAACGCAAAGTCAAAGACTAAGGCAAAAGCAAAGTCAGAGACAAAGGCAAAGGGAAAGTGAAAGAGAAAGGGAAAGAGAAAGGGAAAGAGAAAGGGGGTGGCCCCAATCATTTTGTCCTATTCGGACACACATTCTACAAAATTCTAGCACATGGTGCTATATGACCTTGTGCTACAGAGAACAAAATTCTTAGCTCTTGTTCGATCGGCGGCTCAAGTGAATTTAAGAGAAACCTTACAGATGGATAGCCTTCTGGCCGAAAATATTCGCCGTAATTGACGGGTTTCCATCTTCATCTCACCATGTCAACGCAAGTTTTTCCCAGGGATCCGTCTTGTCCCTCTTAGTTCTCAACTCCCGCCTTTATGACCTAGCTTCGAGTACCGATTATATGTTTGGGGTGCTGCCGCCCAGTCTACTTTATCCATACTCGCTGCTATTTAAAGGATGACTGTTTGCTCCTCGGGAGCACTTCACATCGATAGATCGTCGGCGATCTAGCTCTTTTCTACCGCTATATCAACGGACTTTGCTCCTCAGAACTCTCCGCCATGATGCTGCCGCGTGATGTACCTGTCAGATGAATCCGCGTGACATTAGCCTCCCATCCCAACCGTGTCGAACTTCGTACAGCCGGTGCGACCACTCCTTTGGAAGCAGAGTATCGAGATTGTGGGACAATCTACCTGAGAAGGCTTTTCTCAGTTCTACTAACGTTAGGCATAGGATAAGCAACGTTTTTTTAAACTGCTCATAGCAGTCGCGGTGCCCTGATATTTAGGTTCCTGCATACGAGGCTGCGCGTCGGTATGAGAAAAGTGTTTCAAACTATATTCCTACTTGTATATTGTATATCTTACATTACGCCATCTAACAGTGAAGTTTATGGTAAATGTTTCAAGATAAAATACTAGAGAAGCAACGTGGTTGACTTTTACTTGTCTGACTTCCACAACACATTTCATTATTCGATTGCATGCACTGAAAACCAAATTTGCCGGACGGCCTGAGTTCGATGTGTACGAGAGAGAAGTTTGTACAGGCACATGTGTCAGAAAGAGGTAGAAGTCGGCTGGATAGCGAAGCTCATTGCCTCGTTGCTTAGCAGCGCTGACGCGGCAATCTGCCACATTGCCAATATGTTACATCAGTTCCTTGAATTAAGATGCATATTAAAAATGGTTTTATTTTGAGCGAACACATTTTTGAATTGTGAATTCTGTCGAATCTATTTAGGTTCAATTCCGGATCGGTCCTAACGGCGCTCTATTTTAGGTCGAAATGAAAGGTCTGCAACGTTGAGCTTCTCTCTCGTACACATTAAACTCAAGTCGTCAGACAAATTTGGTTGTCCTTGTATATGGCTACCTTCAAGAACAATATTTAAATATGCCTTGTATTGCTTTGAAGGAAACGACAAACACAACACTTTGAGGACAATAGCTTTTGTCCGATCCTACCAATCACACCTTGCTAACTTCCGAGTCATCAAGCTGTTCCAAAGCTTGATCGAAGAGATGGGGAAGTTTCTTTGGACTTCAAAAGTCGCAAACAGAGAAGCCTAGCAATCCTGAATAATATAAACTGCACCAAAACATCGGAGCAACTTTTCTTGACAACTTCCAGTCTAAACGGAGTTAATTCAGTCCTTGTAAAATTCATCTACATGAAAACCATATTGTGCAGATTCCAGATTTACGAGCTGATTCCCTTCTCGCTTCCCTCGGAAACTAGCATAGATCTTTAGAAGCTTTATTCATTTACTTCCAGCAGATAATCTGCCGGTTCGCTTAAGTGCTATACTAAACGGAAATAAGCTTTGCAATGAGTATAAGCTTCTACGCTGAATTATTACATCCCTAAGTTAGACTGATGGCCTCCACGGAGTCACGTGGCCCATATACAATACAGGGTGCGACAGAGAGGAAGGATGTTTTTGGGATGGGTAGTACTCTCCGCCTCCGTCTACGAGAGAGGTGGGGAGGCTGCCGTTTGACTCGTGAGATCCTAGCTTTATTTTACCAGTTGTCGTTATGGAGCCTTGGACGGTGGAGCACCACGTTTTCGCCTATAATTGTTTTGTCCGAAATAATGAGTCAGTCATCGTCGTACAGCGTGAGTTTCGTCGCCACTTCAACATTCATCGGAATAGAGCTGTTCCCTCTCGAAACACCATCCTTCGTTGGGTTGAATTACTTCGCAGGCGTGGTGAACTGATCAACAGAAGGCCAAGAGGAGCGCCGCGAACAGTTCGAACTTCTGAAAATGTTGAACGCGTTCGACAGGTCTTTCTTCGCAGTCCGACTCGATCTGCCCGGAAACATGCTGCTGCACTTCGCCTTAGTGATCGTTCGGTAAGGCGAGTTTTGCATATGGATCTCCGCTTTTACCCCTACATATTGGCCATTGTGCAACAGTTACAGCCCGGAGATTATGCACAACGAATGAACTTCGCACGTGGGACCTCGGTTGGCCGGGTGGGTCAGAGTGTCGTGCTACTGATCAGCCGGCCGGCCGGGCCGCGAGTTCGAATCTCGCCTTCGGAAATCACATTTCGAAGCCATGGATGTTGGGACGTCGTGTGTTTGTCCAAAATTAGAGATATACGTATATAAGATTGGATCTGGCTAATGGGACGCAATGTCCTAGTGCCAAAAAAAAAACTTCGCATGTAAGATGGAAGCACTGATCGATCAAAATGAGAACCCCATTTTGTTTATGAATGACGAAGCCCACTTTCACCTAAACAGCATGGTTAACCAGCAGAATTGTCGTTATTGGGCTAATGAAAATCCGCAACAGTTACACGAAAGACCGCTGCACAGCCCAAAAGTAACGGTTTATTGCGCTGTATCGCAAATTTGCATCATTGGCCATTACTTCTTCTAAGACGGTAATGGTCGTGCTGTTACCGTGAACTCAGCGCGCTACGTCGACATGATCACCAACTTCTTTCTCCCTGAATTATGACGGCGACGTGTTCCAATCCGACGTGTGTGGTTCCAGCAGGATGGGGCGACCGCCCACACAGCCCGAGCATCCATGGACGTTATTCGCCCTCTCTTCCCTGGTCGCCTTATTTCCAGGTTTGGCGATGTTCATTGGTCTCCTCGGTCGCCAAATTTATACATATGCGATTTTTTCTTATGAGGTCACCTCAAGGCTAGAGTATACGCGAACTCTGGACGAACTGAAGGGCGAAATTCGTGTGGAAGTCGCCCTAGTTGAGAGAGCGATGTTGGAGAGAGTCTACGCGAACTTCCAAGAACACCTCCAGCACTGCATGATGTGATTTTCCACACTTGACTGTCTCAAATGCTATTTCCTTGTGAACCTGATTCCATCAATAAATTTGTTTTCGAGTAAAAATTTGGCATTTGGCCTAGCTTTTCTTGGTATACAGTGAAATCCATATACTACTGATGTCGTAATGTGTACGGGGACAAGCACTAAAAGTGTGCAATACGTATGTAGAGATAGATATGAGCAACACGTTGCCTAGCAACCCGAGTGACAGAGCCGCGGTCCCAGCTGCGGCTGGCCGCGTTGCCATCGGCGCATTTCTTCTAACATACGTACTGTACGCTTCTAGCGCTTCTCTCTAGTACACATTACCTCGACAGTGATATTGGGATTTCTCTGAATAGGCTCCAAGGGCTACATTCTACATTTCCACAACAAACAACATAAATGGATGTTCATCATATTATGGTTATACAGGGTGACTTTGAAGTTGAGTCATTAATTTTCAGATAATG